AGCTAAAGTAAGCTTGAGTCTGTGTTGAGAGCAACTAGTCATCATTTGAAGTTTTGTTTTATCATGATTGAAGGTAACACACTATTATGAGTAGTCTTGCTATGGATCTTGCATGCTAGCTCTCATGGAGTACTGTTTTCGACACTCTTATTGAGCTTATTGTGTTCTTGATTTACTTAAGGACAAGAAAAAATTTAAGTTGTGGGTGTTGATGAGTGGTAGATGTGCACTCATTTAGGGTTCATTTAGCTCAATAATTAGTGTCCTCAATGCCTTATTTTTTTTTTCCTTTTCTTATAGAATATTAATGATTTGCAGCTATGAAGGTAATTAGACAAGGCAAGGATTGATGTTTAAAAGAATGGGAAAAAATTGAAAATAGAAGTGCAAAAAAAATGTTGTTGATCACCTATTGAGAAGGGCGAGTCGCCAAAGAAATCTGAAGTCACCTAAATTGACAGAGCATTAATTCAGCCTTCAAGGTAAATCGGTAAAGCGAGACAAGAAAGGCGATTCACCAAAAGACACAAGGCAAGGTGAAAAGATGTCACCGAATCTGATAGTTTTGAAAGATAAAACAATGGCTAAAAGAGAAATACAAGGTGAAGATCGGCGATTCACCAAAGTTGGAAAAGTGAACTCTAACGGGATCGCCTAGTGAGACTCAAACACTTGAAACTTGAAGCAGGGAAAAGGTAAACTAAAGGAAGAAGGGTGATTCGCTAAATGTAGTGGGCAAACTGAGCTAACGTCGCCAAAAATGACATGGAACTAGTTTTTGGGAAAAATATTGGGAAACTATAAAAAGCCCAGAGGAGAGAGAAAGAGTGTGTGGAAAAATTGAGAGAAATATTCTAAACTTTCTAGAGAGAAAAACATTTTCCATTGAGCAAGAACACAATTTATTGTTCATTCTCTTAATTGTGTAAACTAAAATTTTGGAAATTGAAGTTGGATTCAAAGTGGGTTTGATTTTAAAACTCAAATTCAGGCTACCCATGGCTTATTTCATGCAAGGTATAATCTATTTACACTTTGCGATTTGTGACTAAAACCCCAATCTCTTGGGGTGTGATTATGAGATTTGGTGTTGATTTAATTTAATAAGTATTGTTGAATTGCTCTGTTTATGGATGTTAATTACAAATTTGACTAATTGCCGGGTGATTAACTCATGAATTGAGGTTCTAGTTTCGATCTTGCAATGGTGCTCGAAAGAGACCAAGACAAGTGGGTAATATGTTCAATAGTTGTAGTTAAAGTACTTAATTGCAGTCCTAAGGTTTTGTGTTGTTTTGAGTGTCTTATTGATGACACTGAAAGGAGATTCTATGCAAGGATGCTTTGAGATTGAAAGAAGATTAGTGTCATTGATGATGACCTAGCTTATTTGTGATTAAATAGCCATATTGATCAATTCTACTACATCCCAAGTTAAATCACCAACTAATACCCACACCTCAAGAGTCCCTTAGTTTTGAGAGTCATCAACTATTTCCAGTTTGATAATTGGGTTTCAGAATTACTTCTATTAAAATTGGTGGACTTCTCCACCCGTTTGTTCTTATTTCAACTTCAATTGAATTAATTGTTTGTTAATTCTATAATTATATTGGGAAAAAAGGTTTGAAAAATACTTCAACTTTGGCCGAAATTGTTGTTACGATACCAAACTTTATGGAGGACCTTTTACCCCCTGCACTATTTAATAGTGTATTTTAAAGGTATATATGTACCCACGTGGACACATTACTATTTATAATGATGCAATATTTATGATGTCCATGTGGGCACATATATACCTTTAAAATACACTATTAAATAGTGCACGGGGGTAAAAGGTCCTTTCCAAAGTTCGGTATTGTTACATCAATTTCGGTCAAAGTTCGGATATATTTGAGATCTTTTTCCCAATTATATTCTTAACAACATACCATTCCTTGTGGGATTCGACCCTGAATCTTTGTTGGATTTTTGTGGACACTGACTACTCATTTTTTTAATTGGTTTTTGAGAGTGATTTGACTGTTATCACAGGGTTTGCCTCATCCCAAATTAGACTGACATCCATGGTCTTAGTAACTATATACTGGTCAACATGATATACCAAGACAGTAGCCTTTGTGCACAACCTGAATATCAAGAAAGGAAATGGAAGAGTAGTGGTATTCCGAAATTCTCTCTCATGGATCTCAGCTATAATCACCTGGGCAATATTGATCTCATGCCCAGCCATCAAACGGGCTATCATCACTACCCGTTCTAGCGTCAAATGATTATTTGCCATCGTAGCACACAATCTAGCCTAGACAATGGACAACCAAAACATGTCTGCAAAATTTAGTGTGGCCTTCTTGATAGTGATCGTCAAGTCCCTAACCCACTTGGCATCTGCCACCTACAAAACAATGGTCCTGTAACCCATCGTAGTAAGGACTCTCTCTTCTCGGTAACTCTCATGGCATCTTTTTTCTGGACCAACTTCATTCGGTAGTGAAACCAAGCCATATTGATCGGCTGCTAATGGGATGGGCCATAAAAAATGGTGGATGGTGGCCTCTGATAGGGGATGTACCGTACTTGTGTGGATAAAAGTGGAGGATGGTCTAGCTTATTGTCTTGTTGAAGCAGAGCATTCTTCAGTGTGGCTGCATAGAATTCTCGTACCATGATAGGCTATATTTTCCTAGTTCCTCCATTATCCACTCATACCAGTGCCTCTGAAATAGCTCATGATGGCTAGCACAGTGTGGAGGCTACCTGTAAGAACGTTTAGCTCATGTGTAATAGGCCGGGCATGTTTTTGTTGTGCATTTTGCCGGATGGAATCAATATGAATCTAGAACATGCCCTCCACACACCATCAATTAGGCTCATCGGTGATCTGTATAGGCTCAGAAGGTCGAGTAGGGGCTGTATCATGTGGGTCTTCGAACTTTGACGCATCAGAAGCAGATGTTGCAATTGAATCATAACTGGAGCCTGACTTGGACTAGGCTGCACACTGTGAACTTGAGGCTGCCACTTGTTGTGACTCCCTACTACCTTCGCCCAAAATATGTGCTCCCTCCTCGGACTAGGAAGCACTATTTTGTCTAGCGAACTTCGGCTCATCTAGTGTCAGAACTATGTCAAGCTGCCTTGCTTGTTGATGAGTAGTCCGGGGTGACTTAGGCAAATTATTATTGGTTCCCGAATTGAATTCAGACACGCTTTGTTCATCATCGGAGCTTTCATGAATAAGTTGATGTCAGGCTGAAGGTGCGGTGGACTTAGACTTCCACCTTCTTTGGTAAGTGTTTGTCTTCTTAGGCAGCATTGTACCTGTAGATGAGTCATTATTACACAAACATACAAAATCAAAGCAATTAAAGAATTGAAATCAAACTACGAAACCAAAAGAAGATAAAAAAAATGCAGAAAAGTACATTGTTATTGGCCCTACAATTGGTTTTTATGGACTGTAGATGCTTCCATGGGCCGTAGGACCCAACTGTCGGAAAGGAATCAACTTTTTAGATTCTAAAGTTGGAATAACGGTTCACCAGTACGGTTAATCAAAGTAACTACGGATCGTAAGTCACACCGTCATTCCTAACTTAGGCTATTGTTTTGTGATTTAGGATGACGGGACTGATCTACAGTTAGTAGGAACTCCTACGACCCGTAGATTGAAGTCGTCGACCCTAATTTTAGTAGTTGAGGATCAAATTTTATGCATACAATTTCAATATCAACCCATCCTATCCTAGTCTAGATGATGCATTTCATCATAACAATTTGTAAGTATATCCTTCATCCTTAGGGCTTACACTTATCATTTACTCAAAAAATAACAAATAGCACCAACATAAACCCTAAGTCAAGAACACAATTTGGAGTAATTTGGTAACATATTTACACATAATCAATTTAGGCGTACAAAACAAGCATCACACACCCTTGGTCAAGTAGCAACTTCGAATTTTACTAATTGAATCTAGTTAGGCTGAATTCCGTAACTTTAGATGAATTTCAAAGTTGTGTGAGTGTATCTCCACTTAGATGTCTAGAACTTGAGGACCAACTTGATGATTACCCTAACCGCGGCTACCTTGATTATGACGAATGAAAATTTTGGGAAAATGTAAGAAAGGAGGTCAAAGAAGAAAAAAAATGAGCAAGGGTTAATATCGTAAGAGTTGGAATTTTAAGGGATTGATTTTGTATGTGAAGGGTGGGAAAGATCAAGGGGTGTAAAGGTTTAAGGGTTGTAACGATTGAAAATGTAGTAAATGGGGAATGAATTTGAATTTTGGGGGTTTTATTTGAAAGGGGTCGCGGGTCGGGTTATTTTACGTAGAAAAGTTTTGATTAAAGCTCGTCTACAGTCCGTAGTCATTCCTATGTTCCGTAGATGGCCTCCGTCATTCCATTCAACACTTAGCAAGAGTTTAGGAAAAATACTTGGGGTCTATGAGTGCAGTCTACGGACCGTCAAAGTTTATACAGTTTGTACTGTGCACCCGTAGACTTAAAGTTGCGCCTGTATTTGGTCTTAAGTTCTATGGATTCCATCTACGGTTCATTGAATGAACGATGACTCTTAGATGGGAACGGTAGAACAAGTCCTCAATGACATACCTTACACCAAGTTTCTACATATCAGGCCTGCAGTGCGTCAATTTCCCTACGACCCGTAGGACTTTCTACACTATGAAATTTTCCAGATTTTTCTTTCTTTTCTGCACATGTAGCAAATATTGGGACTTCCTTTTACATTTTCTTGACACTTTCTGGACATAGAACCTAGACTGACCTATTCTAACCATAACTCAAACTTAAAAACTTAAAAATAACTTTCAAACTAGCTAGATTATATCTTAGGTTGCCTCCCAAGTAGCATTTGATTTTACATCGTGGCAAGACGCAGACTCCTTGACTACTCATACTTCATTAACATCCCATTCTTTGATCACCTATTTGACCTCCTCTGGTTGACCCAAGTAGATTTTGATCCTCTAACCATTCACCTTGAATCTTGTTCCCTTCTCATTCTCAAGTTCAACCGCTTCGTGGGAAAATACTTGTACACCTCTAAATGGTCCAGTCCATTTTGATTTGAGCTTGCCATGAAATAAGCGCAACCTTGAATTGAAAAGAAGTAATAAATCACCGGAAGCAAATTCATGCTTTTCGATCTTTTGATCATGGTACTTCTTCATCTTTTCTTTATACAAGGCTGTACTTTCATATGCTTTTAGGAAAAACTCATAAAGTTCATTCAACTTATTCAATCTCTGATTTGATGCATCATCCCAATCTAGATTCAACTTCTTTAGTGCCCACATTGCTTTATGCTCTAACTGTACAGGAAAGTGACAAGCCATCCCAAACACAAGTTGGTAGCGAGACATAGCTATGGGAGTCTTTAATGCAGTGCGATAGGGCTATAGAGAATCATCAAGCATTCTCGACCAATCAGTTCGGTTCACATTCATAGTCTTTGCAAGGATTTTCTTAATCTCTCTGTTTGACACTTCAACTATCCCACTAGACTGCAGATGAGAAGGAGATTCTACGTTGTGTCGAACACCATACTTCTCAACCAACACCTTGAACAGATTATTACAAAACTGAGAACCTCCATCGCTGATAATCGCCCTTGGTGTACCAAATCTGGAAAAGATATTCTTTTCAGGAATATGGCGACACCATTTCCTTCATTGTTCGAAAGTACGACAGCTTCCACCCATTTAGATAGATAGTCAACCACCACAAGTATGTACTTCATCCCATTTGAACTCACAAATGGACCCATAAAGTCAAGGCCCCAAACATCAAACACTTCAATCACCAGAATATGAGTCAGTGGGAGTTCTTCATTCCTTGAAATACCTCTTTCTCTTTGACAACAATCACAAGACTTGGTGAAATCATGAGCATCTTGGTGGATAGTAGGCCAATAATAACCGCACTACAATATCTTATGAGTAGTTCAGATAGGACTATGATGGCCACCAATATGATATGAATGGAAAGCTTCCAATATACTCATCATCTCTACCTCAGGACACAACGACAAATAATCCCATCGGTGCAGATACGAAACAAATAAGGTTCTTCCTAGTAAACCTTTTTCACATCAAACATGAATTTTCTTCTTTGGTGGAATGACAAATCTGAAGGCACCACACCCTCGCCAATTAATTAGCGAAATATGTGAACCAAGGGATAAGATCAAAAGAAGAAGCCAAAACCTATTCGTTTGGGAGCATATCATCAATTTCAACTCCATTAGTTAACTTAAACATTGCCTCTTCCTCTAATCTAGACAAGTGATCAACAACATGATTTTTCGTTCCCTTTCTATCTTTTACCTCAAAATTTAATTCTTGCAACAATACCACCCATCAAATTAGTCTTGATTTTTCATCCTCGTTTGCCCTAAAATACCTCAATGCTGAATTATCAGTGTGCACAATGCCTTTAGCACCAACCAAATAGGATCTACAGTTTTCAAACGCGAAGATTACAACAATAAATTCTTGTTCGGTGACAGTATAGTTCTTTCGAGCAACATTCAGGACTTTGCTCGCATAATATATATGATGAAGAATCTTCCGTGGCCTTTTCCCAATACTACGCAACGTGCCACCCCACTCGCATCACACATAACTTCTAACGGTTGTCCCCAATCCGATGAAATAATGGTCAATGCAGAAATCAACTTCTGTTTCAGCTCCTTAAATGCTTTTAGACAAGCATTATCAAACTCATATTTTGTCTCCTTTTCAGGCAACTTGCACGATGGGTATGAAGTTTTTGAGAAATCTTTAATAAACCTTCTACAAAAAAACAGCATGTTCTAGGAAGCTTCTAACACCTTAATAGAGATAAGTGGTGGAAAATTTTCAATCACCACAACGTTTTCTCAATCAACCTTGATACCTTTTTGAGAGATTCGATGACCGAGAACTATACCTTCCTTGACAATAAAGTGGCATTTTCCCAGTTTAGCATGAGATTACACTCTTCACATCATTTCAGAATGTCACCTAAGTGTGCCAAGAAATCGTCAAATGAGTTACCAACCACTGAGAAGTCATCCATAAATACCTCGATGGTGTTTTCTACCATAATAGAAAAAAAAGACATTATGCAACTTTGAAATGTCACCGGTGCATTACACAGTTCGAATGGCATCCTAGAATGCAAACGTTCCATAGGGAAAAGTGAAAAGTGGTTTTCTCTTGGTCTTTTGGTGTGACTGATATTTGATTATTGCCTGAATACCCATCGAGGAAATAGGACCAACCCTTTCCAGGAAGACGATCTAACATTTGGTCTATGGGCGACATTGGGAAGTGATATTTCTTTGTCCATGCATTCAAGTTGTGATAATCCATGTAGACCCTTCAACCAATAACAATCCTCATTGTTTATATTAGGAACCACAATGATCCCTCCCCTTTTTGGCACACACTGAACCAGACATATCCAATTACTATCGGTGAACCACTTGATAATCTCTTTTTTCACAACTTCTTACATTGGTGGATTCAATTTTCTCTGATGCTCAATACTTGGTTTACTATCAGGCATGAGTTGGACTTTCTGAGAACATATACCCGATGGAATACCAATAATATCAATAATCGTCCATCCAATTTCCCTTTAGAACCTCTTCAACACTGATATCAAAGCCTCTATTTGCCCTTCATTCAAATTAGTAGCAATAATAATTGAGAAAGTACAATTTTAGCCCAAGAACACATACCACAAATGAGATAGAAGAGTCTTAAGCTCCAACATTGGAGGCTCATCAAGAGATGGGTTTACAAGTGGAGTTTCTTGATACTTCATATCTATATCAAACTTCTTTGGTGGGTGATGGGTGTAATCCACCCCCATTAAGTGAAGCAACTAGCTCGTCATACCCATCAATGCAGTCACATCAGAATTCATGATCACGACAGTTAGTGCTTCACACCTAATCTCTCCTCAATAGACACATTTGGTTTATCCTCAACAGTATAATTCACCAACATATACCGCTTTATGATCACTTCGATGATTCATTGATTTGAACATATTAAATGTCAATTTCTTATTGTTCAATCAAAATTTCATCTGCCTTCTTTCCATATCAACTAAAGCATGCCCCGTAGCAAGAAATGGTCTCCCCAAGATTATAGGAACTTCAAAGTCAACCTCACATTCTAATATCACAAATTCCACTGAAAATAAAAATGCATCAACTTTAACAAGAACATCTTATAGTACCCCTATTGATTTATTTACAGTCCAATCATCCATAAGTAGTCCCATTGCAGTTGGTTTGGAGGCTCCCAATCCCTAGTTCTTGAATACAGACAACGTCATTAGATTTATGCTAGCACCCAAGTCACATAGGGCCTTAGCAAAGTGTAACATGCCAATGGTACATGGGATAGTAAAAGCTCTTGGATCCTCCTATTTTGTACTATCGCTCTAGTAGCAATGGCACTACGATGTAACTTATCATCACCTTCAGAACTGGCAACCCTCTTTTTGGTCACAAGATCATTCATGAACTCACCATAGCCGAGTATCTGTTCTTGTGCTTCAATCAAAAGAACATTTATCGATAACTGCTTTAACATGGATATAAGCTTGCGATACTTTCCTTCTTCAATTTTCTTGACCAATCTTTGAGAAAACGATGGCGGGGGTGTAGGCATTCGAATGATCATTTGAGTCACTTTCGCTTATTTCTCATTTGGACTATTTCACTACCTCAACTTCATCCTCTTCCAGTTCCTTTGCCCTTTCCACACCGGTCAGCAAAGGAAGGTCCATAGTCTGTTTTCCACTCCTATTAGTAACTGCCATGCAGTGTCCATCATTCTTTTGATTTTGAATGGTATATCTGGGAAGTGTTCCTTGTTGGCGCGAATTTACATTTGAAGATAATTGGCTCAACTGCTGCTCAATATGTCTAACCCATACTACATGCGATTCTACCTTTTGTCCAATGATCAATAAGTCATTACGCATCTCTTTCACATTGTCATCAGTCGAGTCAAACCTTTTCATCATCTTAGCCATCATATCCTTAATGTGATTCAAACTTGATCCTTCATCTTGATTCCTTAGTGGAATATAAGGTCCACTCTTATCGTTTCTATTACTATACCCATGCCTATTGTAATTTTTATCACGGTTATATTTCCCTTCACGATTGTAATTACTAAAGTTCTGACCTTGATATCCTTGAACTTAGCGCCAATTATCCTGAATGATCCTTGTGCATTAGTTTGAAAAGCCCCCATCTAGTCATTCATATGATTTGCATCCTCTTCATACTTATACTTATCAGCTGGTGGAGCTCTATTTTGATAATGTACTGCATTACCTTTTTTCATATTAGCACTCACATGTTTCAGTACTAAGCAAATCTCAGTTCTCAATTATTCCATCTCTTCACAAATATCATCATTGGATTGATTATGTGTGTCTTGTATCGAAAAAGTGCTCTTTGTAGTAGGCGAATTTATAGTTCTCAAAGCTTTATTCACTACTAAAAAACTGCTAAAAAATGACAGACATAAAAGCGACGGACGGCGTCGCTCCAAAAAGCGATGCCATTTGCCACACTGTCTATCGCTTTTAATAAAAATAATTATTTTTAAAATTATTTTACAAAAAGCGACGGACAACATCTCTTAGGCTATCACTTTTTTCAGTGGATTTTTGCTCCAAATATATATAAAATTAATAATTATTTATTTAATATATCTATAGACAATGTTCATCGCTTTTAATTAAAAATAATTATATATAAATTTAACAATAGCAACGTTGTCTGTCGCTTTTGATTTTTTTATTTTACTAATTATTTTTTTATGAAAGCAACGGACAACATCTTTATATCTGTCGCTCCTTGGTCAAATTATTTGGTCAAATATTTTAAATAAGCGACGGACAACGTTTCTATGTCCGTCGCTTCTTGGTCAAATTGTTTGGTCAAGTATTTAATGAAAAGCGACGAACTTAGAGACAATGTCCGTCGCTTTTCAATTAATATCTGCTACATACAGACGCGATTTTCCCCCATTCTCCCCCCATTTCTCATTTCTCAAATCCTCTCCTCTCCTTCTCTCCACTCCGCTGCCTCCTTCCCTCCGTCAGTTGCTGCCGCCGATCAGAGTCGTGAAGAGCTGTCACTGCCGTCTCACCTGTCAGAGCTGCCGCCGCCGCCTCCTTCCTCTCTCTCTTCATTTTCTCCTTCTCCTTTAAGGTTAGGGTTTTATTTATAATAAAAAAAATCAATTATTTTTTATTTATTTGATTGTTAGTTATTTAATTGTTATTAGTTTATTGATTGTTAGTTTTAATTAGGGATTATTTGATTGTTAGTTTGTGTTTCTTGATT